ATATACCTGAGATGAAGCCGCTCATGGCCTCAAACTGCTGAATGATGCGCCGGAGCTCAAAACAACCGGTCGGGTCGTTACATATTTGCTCCTCCTTTACTATGCGAAATTACATTTACCCTGTTATACTTTCAATTCAAAAATATACATTAGTGTTTGGCTAAAAAAATGTTAAACCTTTTAGTTAAACTAATTAATGATGAATTAAAGGGCGAATCTTAGTTGAACTTAATAATTTAGACCAAATATGACAAGATATTCGCGAAATGAACGGTGTTCAAGAGCATTAAATAATGGATTTAATAATCAATGATTGACAATGAATATGATAGCATGAACATGTAATAAATGTAGATAATGACAATAAACGTAATAAGAAAGGATCTATCACCCAATTATTATATAATTAGGATATTCCTTTCTTCTGTCAGTGACGTGGAAAGGTGAGAAGTGAAGATGGATATGGAATATTTGGATCTTGTGAACAAAGATAAAACAATGTGTGATTAAGTAATATAATAAGTGAACAAGACAACTTTTATATATTCTCTTTAGTCAACCTTTATAATCTGTTTTTCTCAAAAAAAAAAGTGAAGCCCCTTTTTGTTCTCTTATCTCTCACTATTTATAAGGGATGTTCCCAAGAAACCCTAAAAAGTACAATATAAGGAATATCCAAGGGAATATTCCCGGTGTCCTTTTCCAAGCCAATCCTACTGTTACAATTGCGACTCCAGTTACGCGTCCTCGGCAACGATCCTTACGAGGGCGACCCCTTCGTTATAATGCCGTGGTCGACCCCATCCTTGGCATGACTTATCTGCAGTTACCGAGTTGCCAAATTTTGACCAATACAATTAGTTAAGTGGCTCAAGTATATCCCTCCTCCATTAGGATTGTCCAAAAATGAACATCCAATCTCACGTGGCCCTAATATTTGGTGAGCCGGACACCATGTGGCATGCTACCTCACCACCCGCAATGCATTTTACAATTCTTCTGCCACTAGTATTTATATTGTATTATATTTATATAATCAAATGATATATATATAAACTCCTGAAAATAATCAGATACGCGATTTCAAGACACTAGCAATCACATAAACAACAAGATTATCATTTGATGGAAAAATACAAGGCGAGCAAAATTTCAATAAATCATTAAACCAACAACCACAAGTGTTAAAGAGAAGAAAGGACCTTAAGATCTTTACACTGACGAAACAAATTTCAGCATTTTCAAACTCAAACAACTGGACGAAGCCATGAACAGGAATCTTTCAAAAGATCGGAACTCGACCGGAAGTGTTGCTTGAGTTGATTATTTTGGCCTAGATCTGAACACCCAAAACCTCAAGCTCATTGAGTTTCGACTCAGCCGCAAAAACTCTTTTACCAATAGGAGGAGTTTTGAGGTAAGAATGATTTTCCTTTTAAGGAGGATAGCCGGGGGATGGACGGAGGGGCCGACTCTCGCGTCATTGATGAAAGAAATGTGATTATTGGCGTGGGATTAGTATAGTAATGGAGCTTGGTGGTGCTAGTTAGCTATGGAGGAAAATGTTTTGTGACAATTAGTGATGAACAACGTTTTTTGTCAGAATGTAATATATGTTAATTTGTGCGTTTATCCGTGAAAATTGAATTAGGAGAGTCAAGAGTGCGAGTGCGAGTGCAATGCGTGCGGCGTGTGTGTGCACTGTGTGGAAGAAGCGCAGGGGATGGGATACAGTGAATTGGGACAACAAGATAGTATGCCAGGAGGTATCCACCAAACTAAATGTCAGTGCGACGCAGAATTGGGTTTCATTTTAGACAACTCTAACAGACGTGTATGTCTAAGTCGCTTAGCTAATATTGGAGGTATTTCTATACGAAAAGTATGATGGAAAATAAATGTGATTCTTTTCGCATTAGTAGAGGGACAAATTTAACTCTTTTCTCTTTAGAGAAACTTTAAAAAATTCTTAGCTACCACCTTTTAACATCATTGGTAAATATTCTAAGCTGCATTTTATTAAGTACTTCTTTATTTAAATTCCAAACATGTATGTCATTTTTCAAAAAGATTGAGCAAGTAGCGGTCAGAATTTCACACTGAAAATAGGGAAAAATTCAAAAATAGCCAGATTTACAATTGGTCGTTCAAATATATCCCAGTTTCAAAAGTAATCGAAATTTAGCACTTTTCATGTAAAGATAAATCTGAGCGAAAACACTATTCAAAACCCAAAAAATACGCCAGTATATTATGTTGGAGTTCCAGCAAGTATACCGGTCCAGCATAATATACTGAAGTTTGGAGCACTTGTGCTCCAATCTCCAATATATTATACTGGAGCCAACACAGGTGCACCGAACTCCAGTATATTATGCTGGACCGGTCTCTGTTGCAACAAAATAGTGGCTATTTTTTATTGACTTGGTAAACACTGACTAATTTTGAATGATCAATCCGAAAACTGGCTATACCATGCTATTTTTACCTGAAAATAAGATACTTCTGTTGCTCTTGACCTGAACTACATAATTGTTTTTAAGGATTTGTGGAGTATCAAATTAAAAAATATGAAGACGAAACCAAACTTTTTGGCAAGACCCTGTATAATTTTTAAAGCAAGGTGAACTATGAACTTCCACCAACCCCAAAAATAATTTGTCCCTCATATAGAGTAATATGACTATTGCGAGGTGCAAATTAACCTCACCGTAACTCTGAACCATTACCTGACATCATCCATCAGTTATAACTAACAGGTATAAAAGAACAAATAGCTCGAGCAGCAGCACCAGGAGAGTCTAAGCGAGTATAAACATCACACAGACACGAGGAACTATTAAATCCAGATGTCTGTACAAGTCTGTTTTAGTATGAGTCCGAGAGTGTCCTGAACTAGATTCAATGGTAGGATGACATGCGCAGGATCTATAGAAATGATTTAACATTGACAGAATCCCTTTCTTTGTCTGCATTTCATAGTGAACAGACAGAGAGTGCAGCCCCAACTCCAGCACCCCCCCCCCCC